TGGAAGTAAATATCGGGATCAGAATGAACCTTGTAAAGAGCAAGGAGTAGATAACAGTAGTGTTGATAAAGACCACATCATTTATCAATATAGTCTATAATAATTTTATTGTTTACTTAAACACTCTGTTAGCAATCAAAAAGATAACTTTATTGAATTAATAAAATGAAATTACAATCCCAATTTATTCCCAACAGCAACAATAAAACTACACCATTGTGCACGTGATTTGTTCTCTTTAGAATTCGAAAGTCCTCGTATCTGTTGGCTCTGGCTAATTTCAGCTAAAGTAAAGTACGATCTCGCCTTACGTTCAAGCACAAAATATTGTTCCATTACACCTTCTGTCGGACTTGAATTTGCTGTTACGCTATTCATATCTGCGGGTGAATTAGTATTCGAAGACATTATGGTGCTAGTATACATGGGTGTCGAAAATATTTTGCTCTTGGCGTAAATTTAAATGACGAAAATGATTTTGACTAGTCGAAAATGTTAAAATGTCATTTTTTGTAGACCCATATGGGCGGATTTGACTCCGATCACGATTACAAAAATTAATAAAACTACCAATACACAGCATCGTTTTAATTGGACAATATTTGTATGATCTATCCGTGATTACCCGTGATAATTAACCAATCAAATTACATAATTTTTCGCTCTTAAGATTACTAGAAAACAAGAGAAAACTTCATTTCAAACTAACAAACCTGTATATAATATTTTATTATGTATATTTAGAGAATAGATTGATACACGTAAAGTAGAAAAATGTGATATTTATTATTAATAAATTCGAAATTATTAAAAAATTTACACAATACAATAATATAAAGTATAAACCAAAATTTTAAGTTTACAATTTAACCAAAACACACTACAAATATCGACAAATCTAAACATTAAGCCTAAACCTTTTGTCACTAAAGAGTAGAGTGTCCAGGGAACTGCGGTGCATAAATCTACTCACTCTAAAAATACTTTTCATATTGTCTTCGTAAGATAAAACGTGACTTTAATCATTTTTTAAAATACAAGAAAATATTTTTAGAGTGAGCAGATTTATGCACCGCAGTCCCCTGGACACTCTACTAAAGAGTCTGTACTTATTCAAACTAATAAAAGTTTATTTGAATCTAACATCTTAAGCAAAAAACGTTCCAATTATCTTACTTTACAGTATAACTTTACACGGTCCAATA